TTTGACTGGAACTGAAGCAAGCACATTAGAGGTACTGACGGTAACCTCGACATCCAAATTGTGTATCAAGTGGCAGGGGTGTAATGAACTGATGCAAGTATTTGAAATGTACTATCAGCTTCTGTATCATAGAACATGCACCACAAACAGGTGTAGTTCATTTTTATTAGTATTGATGAACCTAATAGTGCAACGTATAGACAGAGCATAGTGTGTGCAATTTTTAAATTAAATCTTTGCAGAGTAGGACTGATGAACTGACACAAACGTGGTATTTGCTTGAGGAAAACCCAGATCTGAAAACAGTTTCTGAACTGGTCGTTTGTGCTTCGGGAGCAATCAGGCAGATTGAAATTTGAGGAAAAATCAAGTGGGAAGCACGCATCACCTGCAGAGGCATGTTCTTGCATGTGACATCTTCTTCCTCTCGTTGGTGGCGCATCGGAATAAGCTTGGAAGGCGGCGCCATTGATGCAGGCAAGGAGCTTGGGGAGATGGTGGCGCTCCTGCTGGTGGTGGAGATTCGGTGACGAGGTCAGGGGAGGCAGCGACTAGTGGCGGAGATCACGGATCCGGCGAGCAGCTCCAGGGAGGGGGCAGCTGTTGGCCGAGATCATGGATCCGACGAAGAAGCTCCGGCGGATGCTGGTGGCGGAGATCACCACCCCGGCATTGATGCGCCAGCGAGGAAGCAGACGGCAGCGGTGGATCCGTCGGCGGCCAGTCACGGCGCCGCGGGCTTCCCTCGCTCCGGCTACCATCATCGCTCCCTCGCCCGCGACGGCTGCCTCCGGCCGTAGGAGGCGGGTTTCGGTGGGGAGGGTCGCAGCTTGTCGAGGAGTTTTCTGCCTCGTACCTGTTGGGCGCGCCGTGTCTTATAGAGGGCGATGGTAACAGAATAATATTCTGTTACTAGTTATGACAAATTTTATCTACCACCAGTGATAATTACCACCACTTGAGTTTTGTATGTTGTATGTAGTATATATCAAATCAGAGAGTATGTACGTGTAGTATGTAGTATATAAGAAAGTTTATGTAATATATATACTTCCTTTTGGATAGTATGCATCGTATTTTGAGTATGATCCTTTTTATGTATAAATATATACGTATTTCATAAATATAATAAAAACCATGAGTCAATTTGCAATATTTTCAGGTAACTCACTTTAAAATATGTTATATGTAACGTATGAACATATTTACATAGTATATATAATACCACATGGTAGTATATGAGATATGTGGGGTAACTACCCCGGGTGGTAGGACGTATTTTTCCCTATATATGTCACCCTGGGTGAAGTCTATTTTAACATCAATGCACCGTAAATTTACGCTCCGTAAATTTTGTCTTATTTCAGAAGTAAAAAGAGAACATAAGAAAATATATAATCGTCGTAAAAAATATTTTATGTTACATAAAATTACAAATCTAAAACATAGTGTAAAATGTACATAAAATGTAATTTTTTTGGTCTTATGACCTATATTCTATGCCAAATTTTACGCAGTGAATCAATACGAATTTAACTATTTATATTTTAAATGTAATTTATTTATGAAATGATCATAAGATTATCTCGATAAAGAATAACTTATTCTGCACCCTGTGTGATGAATAGACTTTATATATAAATAGTTGAATTTGTACTAAATTTGGCATAAGAAAAAAAATATAGATCATAAGACTAGAAAAATTACATTTTATGTATATTTTACACTGCTTTTACATTTGTAATTTTACGTAACATAAAATATTTTTACACAATTATATATTTTATTACGTTTTATTTTTATGTCTGAAATCTCTATCTCTACTACGTAAAAGAAACGTAATTTTCTCTCTCTCCTCTTACGTTCGTCCAATCTCCTCGTCAAGAGCTCCCGCCTATTTAAACCAGTGTCTTATCTTTGGTAATTGTTAACAAATCATGGTAATCCAATCACGTTTAAAAGGAAGGAATTAATCAATCACGTTAGTATTTGGTAATCAATCACGTTCGTAATCAGTACCAAATCAGTACAGAACGGGCTATTTGGTAATCACGTCCAAAAGAATGAGTTGCAAAAATATGAACACTGTTAACTAAAAGAATGCAGTGCTGCACCTTCTTATTAGACTTTCACCATCATATGCAGTTCCTAATGCTAATTGTGATGCCATCACTTCTTCTGTAATTAGACTATGGCACTAATCCTTCCGTTTACAAATAGGAGAGTAAGATTTCCACAGAACTTCGGCGATGTGTTTCTTAAAAAAAAACTGTTTGGCAATGTGGAGCCAGCTCTGTACCATCTTTACTCAATTGTTCACGACTTCTAGCTCAGCCGACCGCCAATACAAAATCAATGATCGTGTTGGAAAACAAAAATTATGACATATTGGATAATTTAAAATTTTAATTCATAGCAATGCACATGTATTATAGTGGATGACGAACAAAGAAAAAGAGTGAATTTATCTTTTCGATAAAAAAGAATCGACTATGTCCTATAAAATAATAATATCAGATGTGAATGATGTCTCACATAAATTGTTGTTTTTCCGTTGCAACGCACAGGCATTTAGCTAGCAAGACAATATACGGAACGTAAAATTACAGTATATTGATATTAAAATAGAGAGGGAGGGGGTGAAGAATAACTATTCCTCATACAGGGTGACGAATAAGTTAATTTTTTTGGAAAACAGGTTCATATGCCCCCATATTCAGTTTGATCCCGTTAAACGACTTCTACGGGAATTTTTCACATGAGATACTGGAGTTGCTCTAGGCTCATGCAAAAAAGTGTTATCTACGCCAAGTTCCAATGTCATTTTTGTGTAGATCACATGGTGACTTACTTCATCACACAAATTTGCACATGTTTAGTGTAAATCCATATGAACATTTAGATTTTATTTTTGGATTTTTTTGAAACTTCAAGTGTACATCCATATGAACATTTAGATTTTTCCTTTCAGGACTTCAAAATATCATTCTGACACTATTCGAAATATAGTTCTCACCCGTGCACCAAAGTGGTTCTTTTATTGTTGATTGATGGACAACCTACAAAAGTTCTGCTGGGAAAACAAAAAAAAGAAAGGCAACCTACAAAAGGTATAGTCTTTCCCTAATTAATAATAAAGCGGCTAGCGCTTCTGGTCGTACGTTGTCATGTTGATTTTTTGTCTGTTCGCTCGCCCGGTTCCAAACGTTGTTTGCAGCTGCGTAAGTCAATGGGCCAAAAAAATTCATGGGCCATTAAAAAAGTTTGACCTCACAACCTGCCCTTCCCTCCCTTCCGGTTGCAGCAAACGGAATTTGTGCCAAAATTTCCAATTCAAATTGATAGTCCCACCCCGGTACTTTACATCAATTCCTAGGCATTTATTTACGTTCCAAATTGCAAGAACCAACAAGCAAACAAGAAGAGGATAGCTACGACCAATCAAAGAGGACAGGCGCATGAATCCAACAAAAAGCAGTATGGGGTGCCCGGCCTAATAGAATAGTCGAGACAGAGCCGAGAGGATATAGAAAAAGATTGAATTGATAGCACGGCTCGTGCCGCCCTGGCATCTTGCAGCATCGGCAGTTGCAGTGCACGCAGCCGCCGAGGACGACCCTGAGCAGGCCGCCACCGCTGCGCCAGACCGCCTCCGCCACATGCCCACCTAGCAGGCATGCGCGTGCAAGTGACTCTGGGTGGGTGGCGGCGAACGAGGCAGTTGAGGAGGGGATCAGATCCCTCAATTCTTTTTAACAGAAATTAGAGAGAGGGTTGCGTCAAGAAAAATTGAAATTAGAGAGAAGAAAAGAAATAGCCAGTGATTTTATAAAATGTTCAACCTTTTTACATGGGGCCTAAGATTATACTTAACCCAAATAAAAAAAGTTACACCCACTTTGGAAAAGTTGAATTCAGACTCATTTGAATTTCCAAAAATGTTGATATTTTTGGTGGAGCTATGGCAAATGCAGAAATAATTAAGGGAAAGGTTTGGAGGTCAATATTGAAGTAGGAAAGGCGTGGGATTTTAGAAAAGGTTTGGAAAGAATTTGAAAAGGAACTTAAATAAAAGGTATGTTCAAATGATTCTCTTAAAACGTTCATATTTAGTTGCTTTAGTCCCTAGTTTTGTTTCAGATGCATTTATTCATGTGAATGCCTGGGTTTCCTAATTATATATATAATTATAAAAGGAGGAAAATACTACACCCATTCCATCATACGTTTGCTCTTACAGAGTAGCTTGCAGACCGCACGCCTCACGTTGAGCTCGATGAGATTAGTTGTTTAAGTTTAAGTTTGCTCTTACAGGGTAGCTTGCAGACCGCAGGCCTCACGTTGAGCTCGATGAGATTAGTTGTTTAAGTTCTAAGCATTACTGGCATTGTTCACTGACATATGTGTTGTGCGGTATTTTTCCCGTTGCAATGCTCGGGCATATTTACTAGTAGTATCAAAGGGCTAAGGCAAATATGCCCGTGTGCAAGATGAAGAGATCAGAGTGATCATACATACTCCTTGCATTACCAGAATCCAACTGATATCTTAGCTGTTAACTACGCAAATCTATTGAGTACAAGAATTGAGAATTT